AGACGCGATTTTGCTGCTTTTGCTGCCCCCGGTGTGAACGCAGCATTAGAGCTGCTCTCAGCAGAGCTCATACAGATGAAGGGTAAGAGCTCAAACGAACAAATGAAAAAACGTTTTGTTTGTCCAGTTTTTCTGTAGTTGGCAGAAAGTCCGTCTTTTACAGCAGACCGGTCTCTTGGTTTCCTCTGACTCTTTTTCAACACAATGCAAAGATTAACTTTGACCCTGTTCATGTAGATGTGTGATGTCCCCAGAGCGACAAGATGGGAGCTCCCAGTTCCCAAATCAGCCCTGATTCATTGCTGATTTCTCTGCAGAGCTTTAGATTAAACAGACGCTAGGCCACCATCTTGTTTTTGGATACGGTGAAACCGTTCTCTCTGTCCCACCAGGTCCTCCTTTCATCACGTCCCCACCAGTCAACATCACGGTGAACATCTCGCAGGACGCATTCTTCAGCTGCCGTGCCGAGGCCTATCCTGGCAACTTGACGTTCACCTGGTTGTGGGAGAAGGACAACGTCTTCTTCAAGAAGTAAAGTTATGACCATGATCATTACTGTTTGTTCTTCTAGCTTAGCTCAGTGATTGGAGCGGTTCGCTCATCCGGCTAATCCAAAAAGTGCCGCTGTTCTGTCAGATCAGCATACCTATAGTCGATATGCATGCGAAAGACGTCAGAATTACATTTATCCCTTTAGTCATGTACATAAAAAACTATTTAAGGTCAGATCGCCATACACTTTAAAAACAGTAATTAAGTCAGTAATTAAAATTTATTTTTTGTCCTTTGCCGCATTTCTCTCACTACCCCCTTTCCTGTCAGCTTACTGTCCAAAAAGATGCCATCAAATGGTTTTCCCTTTATAGAAAACTTTGAATTAATTTGACTGTATGACCTGGTTGAATTGTGAATTGAAGCTATATAAATAAATTGAATTGAATTGAACCGTAGAAATGAACAAGTATTTAACCTAAATAAAATTATACAAAAAAAAAAAAGATGTTATAAAGGAATTTATCTCCTTCATGCTGATTGGTTCAAACAGAGATCAATAAAAATATTAGATGAGAAGCATCAGCTGCAGCTCTGCAGTTATAGACATGATGTTTAAAAAATGTGTTTTTTATTTTAGCAAAGAATTCATCATTTGTCATAGAAAACAAAAAAAAAGAAATCAGCAAAACAAAAAAACATAACAAAGGAAGAAAGGAAGCAGTTCTTCCAAAATAGAGGAATTTTGGTTCGAATTCAATTGATTAATGTTAAGACTGAATCCATGATGCTGACGGATTTGTCCCGGTTTGCAGCCTGCAGGCCGGGTGGCTCTGACAGCGGCCCTGAAATACTGCTTAAAAGGAAATCTATGGAACTGGGATCAATAAATGTTCCAGCTGCTTGCTGGTTTGCTGGAATGAGTTTTTTTTTTTTTGCTGCAGGGTAGAAACTAATAAATAGAGTGAATCTGAGAACCTGTGATTTGAAGTGACTCCTGAAGCCGGTTGACGTGTGGAGTTCCCAGCTTCCAGGCGTTCTGCTGCGCTTCGTAAATCAAGTTTCTTTTACGACCCGGTCAGAACGTCGCTTCCACTGGGAAATAAGCAAAAAGTCAGCAGACCGACTGAACGTCAGCATTTATTCTGGCGTCTTCTACACAGAACAAATGTAGCTGTAAAAAGGTTTTCTCCAGATAATGATGAAAAGACCTTTTCAAATATCTGAAAAATGCCATCAGGAAGGAGCTGTGGTGCAGAAGAAGTTCCCACAATAGAACCAGCTGGAAAAAACAGACAGGCTCTAAGGTTCTGATCCA